CTCGAAAATGCTGAAATAAAACGACAATCTCTTCTGGAAACGATGATTTGACACGCGTCCATTAACTACGCTTCCCTGATGCAAACCAAAGAACGTGGGTGATCTAGCGGATTATGGATGCTCAAGTGTTCGAGTTAAGGCGTTGCAGTCAAGGTCTCGTGAAGGTCGTTGATTAGTATTGGTGTTAAGTTCACGTGCACTTGACGCGTTCTTGTACACTTTTTATGTAATAAGGTAGCGAGATAAATCAGAGATGGGGGGTCAAGTTACGATGAAAAGCATGGAAGCAACGAGTTAATTTTCAACTATTCAAAAATTACAGCAGCGTTCATTTGAGTTGCATAAGAAAAGGAAGGATAGACACTAGGGAAATGCAAAGATGTTGCTAACGGACAGTCATTACTTGTATTCCAACTGTAGATTACTCTACACACAGACGAAAATGTTGAAGGCCCGTTATTCATTTTTTTCTGACATAAGAACGAACTGCACCTTGTGCATTGGGCACCAAACCCAAATCAAATTCCCCAGAATGACTCGCAATTTATTTGGTTACACATAAACAAGTGAGTAATGCGGACTTCGCCTTATAAATAGCACCAATCTATTCTGGAAGCCAGAGGATCATTGTTAGGTTGCTTCATCCTTGTTGGAAATCATAAGCATTGCACATGCCACGAAATTCAGAGGGTTTTGAACCCGCAATCATCTGACCACTGGTTGGACACTTGATGGTTTAGCCACTAGCGGCGATGTGATCAGCTCTCACCTAAACAGGGCATATCGTCACCCATCCTTTAATCATGTGATCCACCTCATGTGGCAGCATGCGTTGACGAGTTCCTCGAGTGACGGCTTCTTAGGCGGGAGCTCCACTAATAGGTTGAATTCTACTCTTCCTCTGAGTTACTTATGGGTTGTTAGTAGTGTGACTAGCTATGCTTTTGAAGGATAAGTGATGCCATATCCCGTCTAGTCGCGATGCTGATCAACCGCTCTACTAGCCTGGAGACCGCAGGTTGGAGACATCATAGAGATTCCTGAGACGTGCACCAATTAGGATTCTAAATACGGATGAAGCAGATGCGGTGATTCTGTCCCTCCCAGCATAAAGAACAAAGTCTCCATTCACAATCCTGAATCTCTTCAAACTCCCAACAACAGAGTTTTTTAGACGTACATTGGTCATTCTGTTTACAGGGCCTTGGAGAGATAACAGTTGATTAGATACTTCAATATTACACCTACGGGGCCTGAACTACTCAAACAGTTCGAGTGTTACTGAATTTATCCCAGTGGCCAGTGGCTTCGGTCAGTGAGTTAGTTGTCGGCGCGTGAGTCAACTACCAACGCTTCACTATCCCCACCAACCTAATTACTGAGAATGCCAATGTCAGATCAAAAGCGACGTTCGCATAGAATGACTACAGGATTAAGCGTTAGATCTAGGTCGATTAGGCTACGCTCAAAAAAAACCGTTTAATCGACTTTCGCCGTGAACATCAATGAAAAGACAAAGCTTCTCATTACATTTTGTTACGGAGCCTAGGCGAACTTCGCATGCAACCGTCCGTCCTACTACCCACCCCTCGTCGTCCCGAAATCTCGTTTTCCACTTTTCGGACAGATATTCCAATGTTTTTGTGGCGCTGAAACCACTCTACTGGCAGATTTACCAAAAAAAACCCAGAACACAAAGTCGTTTGTCGTTCTTGTAAATTTCTCTGCTTCGTTTGTTCACTATGTACGAACAAAACTGATTGAACCGCATTGGGATATATTTCATATGCGGTTGGTGGACACAATCTCATCGCCTTCATCACCCCAGTGTGGATGGCATGTACGCTTCGCGTTAGTGTATGTTTGTAAATGGCATATATAGAATAATTCATCTATATATATATAGTGTGTACATGAGCGTGAAACTAGCGTGATAAAGCATTACGTTCTAGTTGCAACATTTGGTCAGGCTTGTCACATTTGTGTTCACAACTTAATTTATTGCCAGTTTTGGCATACTTTGTGCACATTCTCTCTCGCGCGTGCACACACACACACACACACTCGTTCTGTACTGTCATTCCTTCTCCCGGCTTTGCGCTCCCGCCCCTTAACCAGATGATCATTTCCCGGAAGAATCATGTATCTGGCGCGGCGGTCATGCAAATTGATAAGTGACCTCGTGCGAATTCCGATAGGTTTTTGTGTCTTTTTGCCGCCGGAAGAACACGCGTGTACACACACACACACTGATGTATAGTATAATGCCGGGAAAAATTACAGTATCCAGAAGATTGCCTGTTACCTGACAGGATAAGATTACCATAAGGCGATCGTTTTTTTCCTCACAAACATCAGCCCATTAAATGTGACTGTCAACCAGTTGAAGATCATCGCATTCACCAGAGAAAAAATAAGCCATACTCAATGATCTCAGGTCGTTTTCTTCTTGTGTGGATGGGGGAGACTTTACCAGATACCTGTAGTGACCAGATGAAATACGCAATCTTTCATCCGCGGAACACAAAAGGGACGAAAAAACTGGATGAATCTCGATTTTTTTCAAGTTGTTCACTTCAGTTCTATTTCTCAAGTACTTCAGTTTGGGACAGTGATGAATGTCGCGTCCGCTATCTATGTTTAATAAGAGGGGCCCCTTTGTTTCATAGCTCCAAAAAAATTCCATTTTCGCGCCAAGATTGTATGTTTTATAGATCTGCAACTTACAAGTTTCTCGGTACTCGATGAGTTCGGCTCATGTTTTGTGTGGTACTGGATTTTGTTTTGCAACTCTTGAACAGATAATTCACGCGACACAGGTGACAAACAGTCAACTGAGGAAGGATTTGATAAGTGGAGGCTGACTAACAATCCCAAAAGATAGGTTCAGTTGGGATTCATTTGGCTCATCCATCAAAATCAAAGTAGTGTGCATAATTTGGTCTCAATTAGAGC